AACAACAACAACAACAACAACAACAACAACAACAACAACAACAACAACAACAACAACAACAACAACAACAACAACAACAACAACAACAACAACAACAAATTTATTTTCTGGTATAGCAACATGTCGGCCGTGACGTTTCGTAAAACTGTCTATTAACTATACAAATTTCTGCGCATATGTCTATGTGGTCGTGGTGTACAGATGATATTGCTATCGGTATTTATGCAATATAGTCATATTTACTCCACGTTTGTATCTTGAGTCCTTGAACTTTCATCCCCAGATTCAGTCCGTGTCTCATGAAAAGAATTATCTCTTGGTTTACAAATGATTATTATCGGTATTCGTATAATACAATCCTCAGTAACGCGAAATGATACTCTTAATTGAACAAAGTAGGACAGTTGTATACATTTACTGCATGATATTGTAGGTACAATTGCTTTGGGTATTTTCAAACGTACGTTATCCCAATTTATTTCCCTTCGTGAAGCTACACTTGCCGACAAAAGAAGATTTTTCTCCATGCTCCAGTGTTCCCTCTCGAGGATGTCCTCGTGAGATGTTCCACTGCATATATCAGCAGTATAATCAGAGTTCGCAACATAGTTAACCCTCTGTACCAGTTGTAGTTCAACTTTGCCTGTGTTGAATGAACTTAGAGCACTGTTGATACTAACCGTTATCAAAATATCATCCCCAGGGTGATAAGCAGAGCGGTTGATCTCCATATTCGTCGTAACTGGGCCGGTTTTAAAACAACACCAAGTAATATATTCCTCAGCCGACACTGTTTTGGGTTCTTGAAGATGTGAAGCTTTAGTCAAGTCTGCAGTTTCTTTAAGATAGAATTCCTGTGTAACTGTGAGTTCTTCGTTATTACTAAGACAAATACTAGCACTAATCCAGTAACGTATAGCAGCATAATCTTTCTTGTGCCAGCCATGATAAAACGATGACGGTAAATGAGATGGAGGAATCACAAAGTTAAATGGAAACTGATTATTACCCGGTAATAATGTTTCAAAATCATTATTATTCACTCCAAATTCTAACAGAACTCTGCTATCGTTGAGATAATTCTCGCAGTTAACAAATTCCGTTGTTTCCAACTGGCGTGACTCTGTCCATTTCACGTAAGCCTGACCACAAATTTTGACAAACAGTCTTCTAGCATGCAACACTTTGGTTGTAGATAATTGAACAACACCTGTTAACTTCTCTCCGGGTTGGAAAACCTGACGATCATTAATTATCAGTTGAAGATTTCTTAAACTTTCATGTTTCAGTTCATTCTCAATTCCAGCATCCATAAGAAATTACAAACATAATAATTTATTTAATTGTAACCTCAAACATGCGTGTAGCCATTCTTCTCACTACAGATTTCAGTCTAATTTACATGAAGGTTTGCGTAGGTTCATGAGCAATTATGTAGAAACTGCAGGAGACTTTTGTAAGATAGAAAATCAGCATTTCAATGGGTCACAATATGTGTTCTCATATTGACGAGAACTTGCTTTCATTTTAACAGCACGTACTAAACTAGATTTTAGCAATCCACTGTAATCATACATTAGTGCTAGCAATCGAATAACTTCCAGCATAACTTCACTTCGGCTATAGACTATGAGATTTCGGTCACATGCATACGTCTTAAAACGTACAGTTATTAGTAAATTTATAAAACAGAGTTTAGAAATTCATTTAAACTAAGCATTTGGTGTTTTGGGTATGTTGGTTTCTTTCACATATTTGTATATAGGTATAATAGTATGGTTTGAGTGCAATTTGGAAAAAAACAGGGACGAGTTTTTTGCACTGTATTTCGAAACAATTACACTGCTCTTAGCCAATCAGAAATGAGAAATTTTTTCATGTATATTATTAGACAATGATAAACCATTATTATTATTATTTATTTATTATTAATGCAGCTATAGTATACTATATAGACTATAGTGTAAGTATAGAGAAAGTCTTACGGCTGGACGGCCACGCATGCAGTGATCCAGTGTATAGGTAATATTGTTTGAGAATGCTGTTTTTAGGGTTAGTGATCCAAGTGAGTATATATACACTTTACGACCTGACCAGGAGACGACCTCAAACCAGGGCGCTACTGTAGTACTTATAGAAGTATCCAAAAACTTTGTTGTATTAGCTTGATTAATGTTTAACTCTTTCCAGGCTTGCTCTATTTGCAAATGACGCAATTAGTTCACTGAAATTGACAAAAAGCTTATTACATTTCATTCTAACATCTTCAATTCTCCATTCACTACAGACTCTATACTGTAGAATGTTTGGATTAGAACGTGAATAAAACACGCTAGTATGACCTGCAAAAACTGATCAGTAATTCCGTTAACGTGGTAGCTACATATACAGCTATTTCAATTAAGGTTGTCCACGAGCAAAGCGGAAAAGAATACGAGCGCGAAAGGCTGCTGGGGATCGCTAACAAATTAATGAATTTTCAAAGCGATTCCCAGCAGCCTTTCGCGCTCGTATTCGACTTTTCCGCTTTGCTCGTGGACAACCTTAATTGAAATAGCTGTATACGAAAATAAAGTGCATCAGGACTAAAATAAATAACTTTCATGGCGAAAGAGCAAAATTTCTTTATATGGAATAACAAAATATAAACTGCATGATCAGTCATGCATGCAATGGACTGAGCAGGAAACAATTTCCTCAATCTATAAGCTCTATATAAATGCAATGTGATTTACACTTCCTGGCGATGCATTTAAAACGGAGAAAGTCTTAAAATTTCTTATGTAGTTTTATTGTGTTTTACCTAAGCAGTACAGCTACTAATATACAAATATAGATATTAATTTACCTTGAACATCTCAACTTCAACTAATCAATCAATCTCGTACCCGGAGCCATCCACGCAACGATGGCACTGGGTTAACGGGACTTCTAATCAATATCATATTTATTATTTAAAATACCTCTTAATATTTCGACTTTATCTCATTGTACTCAAACTGCTAAATTCTATATAGTCTAACAATAGGCAATCATCTAACAGATGTCATAATTATGAAAAATACTGTATATTAATTACATTTAAACTGCTAATTCCACTTAGTCTACGACTACGTTAATATACTTTGTTATTTGTTGATTTGAAAAAAACCAGGAAAGTTCCTTGAAATTGCGAAAACAGACATTTTGGGAATAATGAAGCGGGATACAGCATTCTATAGTTTTACATTGTTGTTGAAAGAAATTAGTCTGACTATGATTATATAATTATGTTCTTACTTCTGTTATAATATATATTAATATAATACATTCGTATAAAATACTTCAAGTGATAAGGACGGTGTTTCAGTCCCGGTAATACAGCTGTAACGAGTCAATAGAAGTTGTTGAAGCTCGCATAGGATCCTGTCTATTTAGTGCATTGAATGTTTGAAAGACATTAGGTACTGCTACAGTTGTACCTGTGAGAGAGAGTCTTCGTTCACGACGTTTGCTTCCTGGGTTAATACTTTTACTCTCATCACGATCTATAATCACAATAGGAATATCAATTCTTTCTTTAGACTTCCTTGCTCGTACTTGAATAAAATAAAAGATCATAACGCCACCACATCCTTGAACAGTCAATGAGATATCTTCTGGTATATTCATGTAAGTATCACTCCACTGTGTTCCCTCACCGTTGCCTTGAAACGGGGGAGCGCGGAGTATTTCACGGGTTTTGGTCTTCTCTCGACCACTAGCTTTAATCACACTGAAACCTTGCATGAGAACCGCGTAAATACCGCTCACACTACTCACAGAGCCGTGTAAGATCCTGTAGTCACACGTCAAACGAATGATCTCGCCTCGGTGGTACACTCGTTTAGGAATCTTCGCTTCGACATCAATTGTGGTTGGACGGGAAAGAAACTTGGGCAGGGTAAGTTGTTGTTTGAGTTTGGCACATTGGAGGAACTTTTGGGGAAAGTTGCCGATACTTTTCTTCATAACTAACGGCGCTTCAGCGCAAACCTCGTTTGAAACCATTGAACCATCATCTCGGTAGTGAACGACGACTCTGGCGAAGTATTCAATCTTGCCGTCCGTTGCAGCAAATGTCGGAGGCATTGCTGGTGGAAGTTGAAAGACAAAGGGAAAACGATGAACACCTGGACGAAGGAATAGGTCATTATATTCAGATCTGGGTGTAAGAAGTTTGTCTTCGATGTTAAAATGTTCAACACTTTTGCATTTTTCATCTGACACGCCTCGTTTCTTCCAGTTAACTTGGCAAACACCTTTGAATTCAACTTTAATCATTTGAGTTTTCATTAATTTCGTGATTGATATGCCAACATCTCCTTTTATGGCTTCTTTACCAACATGAAAGATTGCTGGTTGATCTTCAAATTTTATTTCAACCTCTGGTTTAACATCCATGGCGAGATTTTGACAAACTCTGACAACAAGATATTATGAAATACCCAACACTACAGGGTGCAATCATATGGTAATTCCCACACTATTATTTTCAGTCTTTGTTGTAGAGTGTGTCCTGCTTCAATAAAACAACAGGAGGGGAAATTAATGAACTGAATTTCAATACTGTTGTCATTTTAGAGTATTCTAGTGCGAGTTTGATAACATAGTACACACGGAATCTTGTTGGACTCTGCTGGGATGCATCAGTTATGACTTAGTGAAAATATAATTGATAATCAAATTAATATACGTCTATATAATATTATTGACACCGCAGACATTAAGAAAGCTGTGGATTGATAGTTTCGTCTTGATTAACTTCCCGACGAGGGGCCTTCGCTCGAAACGTCGAAGTTCTGCTCGATGTATTTCTGAGATGGTTGTATCAGGTTGCATGTATCCCTATCAATCCACAGCCATCTTGTTATCTTCACGATCTACACCGAGCATTATCGAGATTATACTGCAGATATTATTAGTAAAATATTATTAATAGAAACAATTATCCCAACCCACAAGCTAGTAAAATCTGAACAATAAAATTATTTGAATTCTTACAAGACTTGTCTTGGTATACAACCACTTTCAAATCGATTGTCAACACTTATTCTTTCTGATTATTATATTATGAGCAGCGGAAATACCTAACATATATTTAACAATCTTAATTTGCATTATAATAATTTATTTTTATGCCAACAACCACAAAGTTCCAAAACGTTGATGAGTTTGTGAACATGATACAACTGCATGTATACCAATTATATCGTCTCAATTAAAATATTATGAATTCTTGTTGCCACCATATTCACATTTTCGGATAAATCACATTCCTAGTAGAGTGTATATCCACACCGGGCAGGCTGAAAAGTTAGCCTGACCACGGTGGGAATCGAACCCGCGACCTTTGAGATACTAGTCCAATGCTCTGCTAACTGAGCTACGAGGCCAAGTTTGTTCGAATGTGTGGTATTTCGGAACTAAGTCTAGTACCTTCGACACCAATGTGTTCTATGATCATGAATTCATGATATATTTTTAGTGTGTGTTTTGTGTACTCAGGTGAATATAATGTTTTTTATGTTACTCTGAGTGTAACTATCTTGAATTCCTTTACGACAAATATACAAAATGCAAATTATAAATTATACTATAAAAATCATCCAAATATCAAATATTTATTGATCTCATCTTGGATTGCTAATTACAAATCTGCTAGATTTTGGCAGATCACGTGACCAGCGTCTACCAGGGTCTTTTCTCCCCTCGCCAAGAGGAAAGACCCTGGGTACGAGGTTGGAAATAAAACAGTTCGTTTTAATACTTTTAAAAATAAAACAGTTCGTTTTGTGAAATTTTAACCCCAAATGCAGGAAATGGCATTTTATGGACATATTTCAAAATTTTTCGGAACCCCCGAAATTATCTCGCGTCTTCGGCACTCGTTTTCCTATACCACAATTCCACCTAAGCGACACCACTGCCCACCAACCCCAAAATCCTGCGTACGGCCCTGGTTACCACTCATATGATATGTGGGCATATAAAGTGGAACCAAGATAACCAATATTTATATTATAATATTATGTGAGTGAATTGTCAGTGTCCATGCATTTTTCCCTTCCAAAGCAGCCAGACACAGTTGTACGTATACGTTTGATCCAAATACTTGTGACTGTGAGGGTCTGACATTGACGTAAAGACTCGTAAAAGACTTCTTGATGACTGCAATTGATGTACAGATGACGGTGTGAAGGACTGGGGCTTTTTTACCAGCAAATAACTAAATGTTATCGTTCAAAGTTAAATACATTGTATTCGCCACCAATGGTGTATCATGCAGTAATATTTAACGACTCCCAGACGAAAAAAAGTTGCCTAGTTATTCTATTAGCGTACAGTGCCGTTGTTGCTGCGATGAAAATTTCATAAAATATACGTGCAATTCATTATATCATTTTTACCATGGAATTGATTGGAAAAGTTTAATTAGTTCGTTGATCAATTTGATGAATGAGTTGAGGAAGTCTACCTTGCGTGCATCAATGGCTTTTCTTTTCATTTCGTTTAACAGTCGATCCATTGGACGCTCACGCAGGAAAAGTAAACTGGATGAATTTCAAGTTTTAACGAACTTTGGAATGAATTCATGCAACTTCTTTAAACACTTTCATATGAAGAACTATCACAAGATCACAGATCTCCTCCCAACCTCGATTTGCATATTTATTTCACGTATAAAAAGTGTTTGAATATAATAATAAGTATATTTATTAATAATATGAGCAGAATTTTCCTTGTCTCAAATAATTACTGACAATATAATTTATCACTGAACTAAAAGATCTGGAAGGCTAACTATAGAAGGTGAAATTTGTACCAAAGAGGCCAGTTGCATAAAGGCTAAACAACTTTTTAACTACTAGTTTTGTAATTGTGGTTAAATGGTAGTTAACTCTCAAATACGCGATTCTGATTGGTTAACTTTTGCACTAATTGTAGTTATAATAACTTTAATTATACAACCAGCCCCAAGTATGGGCTGGTGAAACATTTTTGTATATTTTTAAATATAACACAGTTTTCAGAAATTAATGAACCTTCAACTCAGGTACCGGTGGTTCTATAGAGTCTACTTGCAAAGTCCTAGTTACACTCATTCAAATTTAAACTTCGTTCGATTCAATGTTACAGTGGCGTAACGTTATATCAGAGGGCCCCCGGTTCACAATTTTCGAAGCCCCCCTAGTAGAAGTGCCAAAAGCACGAATTAAGCGCCGTATATGCACGAGTCTTCTAGGGGATCAGGGCATGCGTACACGGAAAATGTTTGAATCTAGAGCCTCTGAAATGCCATTTCCTGGACTTGGAGGAGGATTTTACACAATTCTGATGGTCAGAAAACGACATTGTAACATATCAGAGGCCTCCCTGCCCAATGTTTTGGTTCAACAGCCTGAGCCTGTGGGTCTCCATTTTGCCCATTGGGGTTGGGGGCCCCCGGGTTTTCCCGGTCTGAACCCATAGTAGTTAGGCCACTGCAATGTTAATCAGCTAAGTGGAAACTTCCATCAAACTTCCAACCTTTGAGAATTTTTGTGAATTCTGGATCGGGAACAACGCCAAGCGGGTTCTTTGTAGAATGATCTTGAAACCAGAATGATACTTCACTTGTTACAAGTCTAAAAAACTGTCTATATGTTCCCTCATTTTGAGGCAAAGCTTCGTGCGGTGTTCTATCTGTGATCCAGTAGAGTGTATTTGCAGCCATAACTTCACTTTCTGGAGGTAAAAATTCTCTCAGATGTTCAATATCGCCATGAATACCAACAGCATCAGGGCAGTTTCCTTCAGGTCGCAGGATTTGACAATCCCAAACTGTACAAGAGTTTTCCACATTTGATGCCATGTAAATACCACCTTCTAAATTCAAATCGCATTTTGCAACTCCATGACCCCAGAAACCTCGATCAAATGCAGGGAAGTGTTGAGCTTCTCCCTTGCTGCGTTTTAATAACCCAACACCTGGGGACTCGGTGTGTATGCCAGCTCTTCTCTGTGATGAACCTGTAATATTTCATTTTTATTACAAAATTATAGATAGTAGTAAGTAGTGGGGAATGGCCACCAGAAATATACTTTCAATTGGTGGTCAGCATATATAAATTTAGAAGATTGAATGGGCCTTATGCGGCGTAATGCCACAAACACGTCAAAAAAATGAGTGAGTGGATGGCATAGAAAACAGAGAGACATTCAAAACAATGGAAAGGGAAAGGAATATTGCAAAACCTCCGACAAAACTGCAATTTACACTCATATTTGGCTGTTTTTAGTCTTGTTTAGGACAAAATTGCAATCATGGTGGGGTCCTCACCCAATTATTTTCGCCACTGGCTAAGTGTCATACAAACTACAAAGGGACCATTGAAGAGAACATTTGTAAAGGTAGGAAGAAAGTGTCAAAAAGTAGCGCTTTGGTATGATTGCCGCGTTCCTTTCTACGCTTAAACGAAAAGTGGCCAAGTATGAAAAATAAATAATGATGGAGTGATTTAGAATATATAACATTCCTACCTTGATCAACATAACTTTCTTGGATGGTAAGATATCCTATTTTACCTACATCATTTTTCACGATACACTGCCGTATAATCTCGTCCCAGTATGATCGCAAATATTCCGGAAGTTTCGTATCATGAAACTGCTTCTCCATGATAAAAGGCATCATATTAATGTCTATATTGTGCGGAGTTGGGAACCGCACTATCCAGTTAAGATCTGACGTAGTGTGATGATAGCCCCATTTTAGTTTCACATAACTCAAGTTACTATCATCACTTAATTTAATACACGATTTCCAGTATGTTACAATATCACTCCATATTGTCTTTAAAATGTAATGCATTCCCAACAGTAAATGAAAAGGACTTTGAGAATCATAGAGGCCTTGCAAGATTGTTCGTGCTACAGGATTAAGTACTTTCATCTCATCTCCATTGGTCGCCATTTTCTTTGTTACTAAAACTATCAACGAAACAAAATAGTGAATGGCATTGTGATTCTGGTTTCCATATCGCGAGTCC